TGTGTGTCTGTTTCTGTGTGTTAGGAAAGTCGGCTACTTCTCTTTCTCTTAATGATATTAGTCTTATGAAGAAGTGGTCCTGTAGTGCCCTGCAGTTTAGTGTCCCCTGTTCCCCAGGGCCTGCACTTCAGGGACCATCTCTTATGTGTGTTGCATGTGCTCTGCTGTTGAGTCTTGGCCTCTTTTTCCTTCATTCTAATTATCTACAGAGTCTCTCTATTGTATGCAGTAAGGTGTGTGGTGGTCAGCTTACGAAACACCTGCCCCTGCTGGGACTGAGGTCCTGCAAAATGAGCAGGTCAGGAGATATGTTATTGCGAGGGTTTGTACTGGTTTTCTGGTTAGGGAGTGGATAGCGCTGGGACTGAGGTGAGCATGACTGGGAAAGGTGGATCTTGACCAACGTGTTGGGGAGGGAGATTTGATGCAAGCAACTTAGGTAAGGAGTGTGGAAGCCTCACTGGTTCCCACAGGTGGCTATTGTTTTTGCTGTAGAGGAAATGGTACCTGCCAGCTTCTTTATTCCTGGAAGGGATCTCTCCATAATCCTTGTCTCTCCTAGCTGTGCTCTGAGATGAGCAAATTACTCTCTCCTCACCTGCCCCCATCCTCCCACCCCCTATTTGCCCCCGGGGTTTTCCAAACTGCTCGTTCTACACTGTATCTGCACAAGCTGTCATGCTATCTCTTTAAGGGCAGGAACTCTGCTTCCTGATACCTTCTGGGTTCTCCCAGAGTGGAGCCTCCTTATTTTTAAAGTTCTAGGCTTTAAGTCATGCTGGTTTCAAGAACTCATGAAATTTGGCCGCTTTCACTTTCAAAGGTAAATATTAGAGACCCATCCTCCCTGTTTGTTGTGGAAGATTTGTTTTCTGCCCTTCTCTGTACTACCAGCTTCCTCCCCACCATATATGGCCACAATTTGTTTCCCTCCCAGGTTTGTTTCCCTCCAAGACCACATCTTTGCATCTTCACCCTTCCTACCTTCTTTGATGTGGCCTCTTCCCTGTCTTTAGTTGTAGAGTTTGTTCTCCCAGTCTTCAGGTCATTTTCCTGGGTTATTTATGCTGATATGGATGTTATCTAGTTGTATCCATGGGACAAGGCAAACTTAGAGCCCTGCTACTCTACCATCTTCCCAGCCAACTTAAATCCTAATCTTTAATGAATATGCAGACAATGAGAGAGGTGAGGATAACTTCTAACATGAAAGATAATGAAATAAATAGAAAAAAAGCATTGTAGAGAAAATAGAAACTGTACAGGGTAAGGAAAAAACCAGTATCTTCAGATAAGTTAGAAAAACATACTGTGAGCATGAAACTATAATGGGATGCTATTTTTAAGAAAGAGGAACAGAACGAAAAAGGCTGAATGTTAAAAGCACAATAGCTAAAATGAAAGACAAATATTTGGAGAAATAGTTGCAGAAGTAAAGCAAAAAACAAGAAGATGGAAAATACAAAAAAATATAGAGAGAATTGGGCCAAGAGTTTTAGAAAGAGATAAACAGGAGGAAATCGCCAAATAACTCCCATATCACAGAACTAATGTACATAATTTTTTATGATTAGAAGGGTCTGTCAAATGCCTAGCCTAATGGATAAAAATAGACCCATATCATGGCCCATCAATGTGAAATTTTAAAATGGGACAGGGGCACCTGGGTGACTCAGTCAGTTAAGCAGCCAACTCTTGATTTCGATTCAGGTCATGATTTCACAATTCGTGATCAAGCTTCACGCTGGGCTTCATGCTGACAACACAGAGCCCGCTTAGGATCCTATCCCTCTCTGCCTCTCCCCTATTGATTCTCATTCTCTCTCTCTCTCTCTCTCTCTCTCTCCCTCTTTCTCGCAAAGATAAATAAACTTTAAAATGGGACAAAGAACATCTTACAAACTTAGAAAAAAGTTACATACAAAAGACTGTAAATCAGTTGACATCAGATATCTCAAAACACTGGCCATCAGAAGAAAATAGAGTACTGCCTTCAAATTTTGAGGGGAAATTAGTTCCAATATAGTATTCTATACCCAATCAAACTGTCAATCAAGTGTGAAGTTATAATAAAGACATTATCAAACATGAACATCTCAGAAAATCAGTATCCTACATACTTTTCCTCTGGAAGCCACTGAAAATGTGTTCCACCAAAAGAAGGGATTTAAATTAACAAAGAAGACTACATAGGAATCAGAAAACAAGGGATCCAACAAGAAAACAAAAATTCCTAGTAGTGTGGTGACACGAGAGCCCTAAATGGCCTGTTTTCAAAGAGCAACCAGTCCAGATTGGAACAAGTCAAAAGGCTAGACTCAAGATTGGGGTAATTCTTGGAGGAGATGAAATTGATTAAATACTTAAATAAACTTAGTAAGAGAAGATCAGATAACTGATGGGCAATTTGGAGTTTAATTAATGATAACTACATAGAACTAAGCAAATGAAAAAAATAATCCCAGGGGAAGTACAAGTAATTCTAGGGAAAATAAAATACTATGAGAAATACTTGGAGGAATAGAATATGGATAGCAAAAAAGAACACTAACACTATCATTTTTAAAAAGAGTGAGAGCACATAACTAGATAAATATTGTCTTTCTGATTCACCCCTGATTTTATGTTTCTGAAATTCTTCTCATTTGAAGTATTGTCTGAAGCAAAGGAGCAACCAACAGTGTTCAGGACTTAAGTCATCCCTATTTATATCAAAGTAACTTTTTAGACTAAGGCTGCTCACATTTATAGAATATGATCTCTGAGGGCTTAGGTAGCTTATTGGAAAAGACAATCCATACTCCACTCCTACTTCTTTTTTATGGCATTAAGGAATCATTCAAGTTTTGGAGTGGATTTTCATCATTTTGGCATCGATCTGGTGTCAAAAGCAGTGTAACAAGAGAACAAATCAAAACTGTTAAGCCATATTAAGATTTGTTTTTCTCCTTTCTTTTAAAGTTTGAATTTGCAAACTTTTTTATTTGGTATCAATGGATATTTACCTGAAACTAGAGAGTAGAACCTCACTCCTGTATTTATTTAACTGTTCGTTCAGTCACACATTCATTCAATCAAGTGTTCTTAGGTACTGGGCATTATACTGTATACGGTGTTTGTGGTTGTTAATCTGCACTGTCCCTGCCCTCAAGGAGCTTATTATTATACTTTAGCTTATACTCAAGGGTGAGATGGAAATTTATTTTTTATTTATTTTTATTTTTTAAAGTTTATTTATTTGGCGGGGGGTGGCAAAGAGAGAGGGGGAGAGAGAAAATTCCAAGCAGACTCCATGCTATCAGCATGTCATGAACCATGAGATCATGACAGCCAAAATCAAGTCGGAAGTTTAACCAACTGAGTCACCCAGGAGCCATGGAAATTTGTTTTTTAAACAAATTTACAAACAAGCATATAATTATAAATTGTCATAATTTCTTGTATCAGAAAGTAATGGAATAAGGTGAGGGACTAATTTAAATTAGAGGCATAAACTCTGGGTGGGAGAAAGCATTTTCAGTCAAGATTTCAAAATATTTACCTTCTATATATATTATTATAGTAGTTCTCTTAGGAAGCTGCTAGAGGATGCTTCTATCAAATCAAAACAAGTGAAAACAAAAGGATGTAGGTAACAGAGGAGAAGAAAGTATCAAGATAATGATAAAAAATAAATTCTAGGATGTCAGCTGTGCCCCCAAAACAGAAGCAAATCTATATTGGATTTGGTCAGAATTCTCTGAAAATTCTGGATACATTATTGGGAACTCTGAAGCAGCAAAGCAAATTAAGAAGATAATTGGAAAGAAATGGAATGGATTACTGTTGTATTTTGGGGGTAGATTGGTAGACTTTGGTAATTCATTGGATGTAGAATTAAATGAGAACAAGTGAGCAATGACTCCTAGATTTCTGCCTGCATAGATGGATAGATAAACTGTTCATTTACCAAGTAAAGGAAGTCTAGAAGAAGACAGATTTCAGGTAATACCAGAAGTCCTTTTTAGACATGGAGTTGGATGCTACAGGGGGGAGTATTCAAATGGAGATGTCAAGTGACCAGTTAAATAAATAGCTTGAGGCACAGAAGAGGGCTAGAGATGTGACTGTATAACTACCAACATAGAGGAGCAGTTTTGATGCTATGGAAGGGAATTAGATTTTCTGAGATGAGAGTAACAACCAAAATAAGGTAAGAAAGAAAAGGATCAAGTCCCAAGGAAATGGAATTTATAGAGTCTGGTGGAAAAGGAGGAGCAAGTTTGAAACTACAGAGGGTGGATGTAGGCCAAAACTAGTTTGAAGTGGGTTTAAGAATGCATGTGAGTTGAGAAAGTAGAGACAGTGTATGTAGACAGTGCTATCAAGGAACTTGTTTGTGAAAGTGAACAGAGATTGGATGGTAGTTGAAGAACAGTGAAGTAGAAGAAAGTTGTTTTTAATATTGCTTTTTTTGTATAGGATATTAGAGCATATTTAATTGCAGATGATGAGGCTATAGAGTGAAGAGAGATTGAAGATGCTAAAGAGGCAAGCGGGACTGAGACCCCAAGCACATGTGAAGCATTGACCTTTAATAGTAGGCATATCATGCCAGTGCAAGAGCATACCATTTTAATGATCTGAGGGTAATAATAAGTCACCTTTACTTCAGCCATGTAAAAATGCAGTCTATTAAGAGTAATTTTTCTTCTTTGGCTAAAAGCCTTGAAACTATGAATTTATAACTTAGTAATTTAATTGTTGCTATGGTTACACCTATATGTTATGCTGGTGAACATTTTTTTACAGCCTTGAATAAAACTGGGTTAGAACGTTTTCTTTAATGCCATTTTTCCTTTTCAAGAGCATTTAAACTGTATCTGATAGTTCCTGTATTTGAAAAGTATTTGTATTTATCAGTAATGGTACAAAATGAGCATGTATTGAAAGTAATAGAATACAGTTACTGTGTTTAAATTTTATTTGCTTACTCTATATGTCCCTCTCCTTTTTTGCAGAGTCAAGTAAAGAACAGTTTGCCAGTACAAACATTGCTGAAGAACTGGTAAAACTCTTCAAGAAACAAATAGAACATGATAAAAGGGAAATGATTTTTGAAGTCCTTGCTCCATTGGCAGAAAATGGTGAGAAATTAAATGCACCTCTTGATTATTTATCATGTATGCTTTCCATTCTTCCTGATATTATTGAATTGCCAGATATTTAACTCAAAGCCCTTCTTTGCTTTATTAATGATGTGTTAAGTTTTATTTTGGGTGTCCATAACTTTAGCTACATTATCAACTCGATTACTATATCTACATTGGCCAAAGCTACTTACCAAGTTCCTTTGATTTTAAAGTCTTGCCAAACATCGTTCTGTAGCTTACACATTTTTGTGCCCATCTGGAAAAGGCACCAGAGAGGCTGAACTCCACTTATGTAACCTTGCAGGGCAAAGGGACAGTGTAGACACTGGTAAACTATTCCCATCTTTGCATTAAAAAATCTTAAGGGATACACCATTGGAATAAGAGTGAACCAGAGTAAACAAAACATCCCATATAATTTTTCAGATACAGTGTCTAGCACATAATCAGAGAGGACCAGATACATGAGGAGACAAGATATTGTAAGCAAGAACCAGCCCAAAGAACAGGCAACCACAGCAAATCTCCAGATATTGAAATTATTAGACAGTGATTCACAGGTATGCTTATTATGTTCAGAGAGTTAAAGGCAAGCTTGAAACATTTAGAAGGAAACTAAAAACTATAAAAGGTAACATAGCAGACTTGAAAAAGAAACAATTCGAAATTCCTGAATTGGAACAATACAGCCCCAAATAAGAACCTAATGGATGCGTTTAACAGCAGATTAAATATAGTTGTTTTAGAGAACCAGTGAACTGGAAGATAGACTGGAAGGAAATCCACAATGAAGTATAAAGAGAAAATAATCAGCATACATAAAAAAGAGAATAAGAAGTACAGAGGATACAGTGAGAAGGTCTCATATACATTGTGTGGAGTTCCAGAAAGTGCAGGGGGGGAAGCAGAGGCAATATTTTTTTTTTTAATTTTGGCATAGAATTTACCAGAAATTGTGAAAGATAACAAAGATTCAAAAACTCAAATGAATCTAAAACCTGATAAAAAGAAATCTACATTTTTTTTTATACTGAAACTACAGGAAACTAATGACAAAAATCTTAAAAGTAGCCAGGAAAATAATAGATTATCGTAAAAGAGGTGATAGTTTGACTGATTGTTAATCTTCCAGCACAACAATGAAAGTCAGATGACAATGAAACATCTTCTATGTGATGAAAAAATAAATAAATAAATGCCAACCTAGAATTCTAAACCCAATGAAGGCATCCTTCAAAACTAAAGGCAAAATAAAGATATTTTTAGAGTAAAAACTGAGAAAGTTCACCACTGACTTTTAAGGTGATTACTAAAATAATTTTTAAAAACAACATGTAACTGCCAAACTAATGGACGGATTTATGGGAAGATTTTTTTAATCTTTATTAAAAAAAATTTTTTTTTAATCTTTATTTATTTTTTGAGAGAGAGACAGAGGGTGAGCAGGGGAGGAGCTGAGGGGAGGAAGACACAGAATCTGAAGCAGGCTCCAGGCTCTGAGCTATCAGCACAGAGCCCTACACGGGGCTTGAACTCCCGAACCGTGAGATCATGACCTGAGCCGAAGCCAGATGCGTAATTGAATGAATCACCCAGGCACCCTGGAAAGATTGTTTCTTTAAATACACCTTCAATCAATACACCTTCAATAACAGAAAAGAGGAGAGAAAAAGGAACATAGAACAGGAGTTACAAATACAGCATAAAAAATATATTAGATTTAAGACACAGTATTACAGTAATTACATTAAATGTACTTGACCTAAATGCTTTAATTAAAAGACCAGTTGTCAGCTGAATTTTAACAATCAACTATACTTTTGGGATGCCTTGGTGGTTCAGTCAGTGGAGCATCCAACTCTTGATTTCAGCTCAAGTTATGATCTAACGGTTTGCGGGTTCAAGCTTGTGTCGGGTTCTGCACTGGCAGCACGAAGCCTGTTTGGGATTCTCTTTATTTCCTTCTCTCTCTGCCTCTCCCCTACTTGCTCTTTCTCTCTCTCAAATAAATAAATAAAACTTTTTTTTAATTAAAAAAAATTTTTTTTAAAAATCAACTATACTTTTTAAAACAACCCACTTGTTAAATATAAGGAGATTTAAAAGATTTAGAATAAAAGGATTTAAAAAATCATTCAAACTTAAAGAAGGCTGAGATAGTAATATTTAATCTTAAATAGAATTTAAGATTAAAAGACTCAATAGAGATAAGGTGACTTATGGTGATGAAAGTTTAATTCAACTGTGAGCTATAATAAATATACATTACCCCAAAACATATGAAGGCAAAATACTCAGAACTATGAAGAGAAATAGAAAAATTCATAAATATCATGGGAGCTTTTAATGCCTCTGAGTAATTTATACTACAAGCAGATTAAGAAAAACAACAAGGATATAGAAAATGTGAACAACATGATTAAGAAAATTGATTTAATGGATGTATTATAGAGTACTGCACCCAGCTGCAGGGCCCTTTCTTTTCAAATACACATGAAATATATAAAACATGCATAGTTATGAAAAAGTTTTAACAAATTTCAAAGGATTGCAACCTTATGGAGTATATTCTCTGACTTAAGTGAATTGTCTAATAATAAAAAGATAACTAGGAAATCCATTTATACTTACATATTTAACAATATACTTCGAATACCTCAGAGGTCAAAGAAGAATCGTGTTGGAAATTAGAAAATTTTCTAATAATGAAAGCAATGCTATATTTTAAATCTTATGTTGGTAAAGTCATACTTGGAAAGAAATCTGAAGAGCTGAAATTAATAAAATAGAAAATTCATAATGCAATATCGGTGTATAATTACTAAAATTCAGTCTGAAAGACTAAATAAAACTGGTAAATCCCTGCTAGGATTAATCAAGGGAAAAAAAAAAGAAAAAGGGAGAGAGCAAGAAAAGGCATAGATAACCAAAATCAAGAATGAAAAAGGAGATCTCACTATAGAGATCTTATACCAAATACCAACAGACACCATTTATGAGAATAAAGGCCAGTCTCACCATGAACATAGATCTAAAATTCCCCTTCAAATTTTAGCAAGCCAAATCTAATAATATATTCAAAATTAATCATTATAGCAAAATGGATTTATTCTGAAAATACAAAGCAGTTTAATATTGAAAATGCAATGAATATAATTTGTATTAAAACTTGTTAAAAGAGAAATCAAATGATCTTCAGAAAAGAAAGCATCTGATAAGATTAACTATCCATTCACGATTTTAAAAAACTCTTTGCAAGCCAGCACTAAAAGAGAGTGAGAAGGATATATATCAGAAGCCTACAGAAAGTATCATACTCAATGGTGAAACAAAAAGCATTTCCCTTGAGTTCATGAATAAGAAAAATCATTCCTACTTCTGTTTATTATTGTCTTATGGGAACTAACCAGTGCAATAGAGAAAAGATACAGGAAAGACATCAAACAAATAAATAACATATACCTCCTTATTCATAGATGATATGGTTATATATGTCAAAAATTCAAAAGAATCTATAGGTGAGTTTTTTAATTAGGATGAGTTATGTTGGGGTGCCGCTCAGTTGGTTGAGCGGCCAACTTCGGCTCAGGTCATGATCTCGTGGTCCATGAGTTCGAGCCCTGGATGGGGCTCTGTGCTGACAGTTCAGAGCCTGGAGCCTGCTTCAGATTCTGTGTCTCCCTCTCTCTCTGCCCCTCCCAACTCATGCTCTGTCTCTCTGTCAAAAATAAACAAACATTAAAAAAAAAAAAATTTAGAATGAGTTATGTTGCTAGCCAAAGCAAAACATAAGCAAACAAAAAATCAAAAACATTTTATTCCTATAAATCAGCCAAAAAATAGTTACAAAATGCATTTTTAAGAAATATATTATTTATAAAGCATAAAAAACAAAATACTTTAAGAATGGACTAATAAAAGATGTGCAGGGTCTCTTGTAGAAAACTGTAGAAAAGCATCAAGAGATGATATGTTGTAAAAATATTATATCTCCCCATATTGATCTGTAGACTCAATGGAATTCTAACCAAATCTCAGAAGACCAGGTATAGCCAAGACACTGAAAGAGAACAAAGTAGCAAAACTGGTTTTACTGCATAACAATAATAAAAGTTTATTCTGATAAAACTATAATAATTAAAAGGCAGTGTGGTATTGGTGCTAGGCTGAATGAGAAGACCAGTAGAACAGGATACCCCAGAAACAAATGGATGCATTAATAGGTGCTTATTTTATTAGGAGGAAGAAAAGTTGTCACTGCAAAACAGCGTGGAAAGAACAGTCTTTTCAATAAACAATGCTGGGAATATGGGGGGACAAATCAATTGAAGACACGTATATAAACTCCCATTTCATACTGTACTAAAAAAAGGTATTCAGATAGATTATTAAGCAAAATGGAAAAGTTAAAACCAGAAAGCATACCTTAAAAAATAGAAGATAGAAGAATATCATCATGGCCTTGGAGTATAGTTTTATTAGGTCACAACAATCTCAAGCATAAAGGAAAAGATTGATAAATTTGGCTAAAACTTTCTAATAATGAAAACGAAAGACACCAAAAAAACACCGTTAAGAGTAAAAAGCGAGACAGTGTGTGAGAAGATATTTATGACACACATAATCAAAAGAGTGTGTAAATATATAAAAATTCCCACAAATCATTAAGAAAAATGTAGAAATTCCAGTGGGAAAATGCATAAAAAATTTAAATAGGCACTAGACAAAAGATAAAATCCAAATGGCTAATAAACATGAAAATATGCTTAACTCATTAATAACTAAGATACAAAATAAAATCACAATAAAATACTACCATGTATCTACTGGAAAGTATAATAATATCAAATGTTGATGAGGTTATGGAGTAGTGGAAACTCACTACATGCTGGTGGGTGTGTACATTGGTACAATTTGGAAAACCATATCTGTTGAGTTGGAGATTGTATTCTGTGTGATCCAACAATTTTGCTCTTAAAGTGTACCCAGAAACATGCACATGTGCACCAGAAGCCATTACAGGAATGTTCTTAGCACTATTTATAATAATGAAAAATTAGAAACAACTCCTATCCATTAACAGTAGAATAAATAATGGTATATTCATATAATGGAAAAATATATACTTACAAAAAGGAATGAAGACAACTATAACCAGTAGTATAGATGAATCTTATAAACATTGAAAGGGAAAAGCCAACACTGAAAAACATGTATTGTAAGATTCCACTTATATAAAGTTCAAAAAAAGGTAAAATTAAACTGGTTTTTAGGAATGCCCATTTGATAAGACAATAAGGAAAAGTATGACTATGATTACCATAAAAATCAAGTATTTAGAGGGCTGGAGGGAAGAATATGTGATAGGAAAAGGGAATGCACAGAGGGGCTTCTTGCGATGTTGGCAATGAATTTCTTGATCTAGGTAGTAGCTGCATGGTAATTTGCTTAATAATAATTAAGCTAATATGCATATTATGCACTTTTCTGCATTTGTGGCTTTTTTCACCATTTAGGAAAGATTTTAAAATATATATATATACCTACATAGATACATATTATATACATACATACATATGCAAATAGTAGTTATAAAGATAGATGGTCCTTAGGCAGAATGGTGTTAATAAATGGTGCTGGGCTGTCTGCTTTGGCAGACTGCCTTGCTGATCTTCCTTAATAAGGCTATTGAAGCCTCCCACATATATATGTATATGATTAAAGTCAAACTGTGAGAGGAGAGATCTATAAATTTTAATCTTGACGGATTTAAAATTTTCTAAATGCCTTCGATCTTATTCTTTAGGCAGAAAGTTGTTTTTCATCTCATTTGGTGGTTTGGCCAAATGAAATTTTTATGGTGACCTTCAGTCAATTTTATGCCATAGAATTACCTGTAACCTTTCTTGTAATATGTCAAAATAACAAAGTTTTTCTTATATGTTTTCTCCTTTACTATCTTCACTTCTATCTTATAATCGTGCAGCAAATTGAATGATACCTTTGAAAACTTGTTTCTGGACTATCCTTAGTATATCACCCTTGGTTTTCCTTATGTGCAAAGGAGACATTTAAATTGGGATTTGTATAATTCAAGGTTTTTAGGAATTTTAAGGTTTTTTTTTTTTAACATGGCTTTGATTCTAGTCACCACACATTTCTAGCCCTAGCATTCTGTAACCAAGGAAACGCCCTACTTTCAGCATAGCACAGTACAAGTGTACCTTTTAAAAAAATATTCCAGTTTGAATATTCTGTGTATTCTGGAGATAATATTCTAAAGATTATCAGTGATCCTGGTGTTAGGGGGAAATGAAACCTAAATTTTATATCTTAAAATTGCCCAAAACAAAATGTCAAGTGTAAAAAAGGTCTTTGTTTCTCCCAAATAATAATAACCTGAAGCTGCCATTGCTGTATATGTGCACATATACAGCTTAGGGAAACCAATGGCTAAAATAAAATCCAACTGAAAAATAAAATTTAAGTTTAAAAATTTCTATGTAGCAAGTTTCTAAGGTCAGTTCATCTACATTTACTGTAAGCTGTATAAATATACCCAGAGCATTTAGGTAGACCAGTTTAGGTTAAAATACAAAGATGAAAGAGGTATGTCTACTCTAATGAGGGAGACAGATATGGATATGAATATAAAACCTGCAATTAAGTAAGTTCTATAATAAAAAAAAAGTTATTAGGGGTGCAAACAATTTGATAAGAGTAGAACTTACTATGAAGAGAATTTTTAACAATATAATTGGGATGTAAATTTTTCTGTTAAAATACCTTCACACTGTTGGTTATCAGAAAGCTCAAAAGTTATTTTTTTCTTTCAACTTTTATTACGGAAATTTTAAAACCTATTCAGATGTAGTGAGAATATAGTCTAATGAACCACCAAAGATCCATCACCCAAGCAAACTTGAAATTAACGAAAACCTGAAGTCCTTTTTCAAAACATGGCTTTTAAAGTTCAGAAAGTTACAGATTTATTAACTGCCTTAGAAAAATAACATCTAGGGGCACCTAGGTGTCTCAGTCTGTAGAGCGTCCGACTTCAGCTCAGGTCATGATCTCATGGTTCGTGGGTTTGAGCTCCATGTAGGGCTCTGTGCTGACAGCTCAGAGCCTGCAGCCTGCTTCAGGTTCTATGTCTCCCTCTCTCTCTTCCCCTCCCCCACTCACACTCTGTCTCTCTAAAAAAAAATAAATAAACATTTTAAAAATTAGAAAAATAACATCTATACAAGTATGAATCCAAATATATACGTATGGTATAGTTTGAAATTTACTAATAGCTCTTTACTTTTCAATAACTTTCTATTCACATGCCATTAGTGAGTATATTTTTACTTTATATAACAGCATATGTGTTTTATTTTAAACAGTGTATTTAATAGTATTACCTTTTTAAAACATGAGCATAATATCTGCAATAACAGTGGAGTGCTATTACTTTCCTTCAAAGCTGAGAATCAATTTGTTTAGGTGCTGCAGACATTGCAAAAAGTGCCCTAATGTCAAGTAAAAAAGAAAATTGAAATAAAACTTTTGTGTATATAAGCTGCACTGTCAGATAGTTCCTTTTGAAACTCAAATCTTCAGACCTGTATTATGTAATCATGCATTTTCTTGATTTCTTATAAGTCTTCATAATAGGTTGCTTATACCAGAACTTCTGTTTCATCTCAAGTTTTGGTTATTTTGTTCACATTATTTTTTAGATGCTATTAAACTACAGCTGGTGGAAGCAGGGCTGGTAGAATGTCTACTAGAGATTGTTCAGGAGAAAGTGGATAGTGAAAAAGAGGAGGATATTGCTGAGCTCAAAACTGCTTCAGATCTAATGGTTTTATTACTTCTTGGAGGTGAGTTATAATTTAAGTCAACCTAAGAACATGATTATTAGATTTTTTTTTAATGTATTGTCTCTTTTGTGAACACTATATATATTAGGCATTTTCTCATTTTCCTGCCTCATTTAATCCTGGTGTGATGATTTGAAACCTTAAACACATCATGAAGAGAACTAGAGATAGTGAACCTGGAAAAGAGGGGTTTTCACTATCTTACAATATTCAAAGAGCTATCATAGGACAACTGTGGCACTAAAAGCTAGAGGGCTACTTGGGACTTAGACTAGAAAAATCCTAAACTCTTTTATAAAAAGAGTCATTACTTGTCCTTTTATGAAATATCATTTCTGAAGTGTATAGTTATCCAGTTGGATATTCATTTAGGAATATGGATTTGTTGCTCTATATTCTTTTCCTTTTATATATTTGTTTCATTTACTTCCAGATGAATCCATGCAGAAATTATTTGAAGGAGGAAAAGGTAATGTGTTTCAAAGGGTGCTGTCCTGGATTCCATCAAATAACCACCAGCTACAGCTTGCTGGAGCACTGGCCATTGCAAATTTTGCCAGAAATGGTAAGCATCTCATATTATCCTTTTTAAATCAGATGTTCTATTTTGTTTTTGTTTTTGTTCACCGTCACATGTACTAAAACGAACAGTTCAGAAGTTAGTATGAAGTGACTGCTACTTTAATTTTTTAGAGATACGAAATACTTAGTGTTTTTTTGTTTTTGTTTTTGTTTTTTTTAAGTAAGCTCTGCTTACCAACATAGGGCTTGAGTTCACTACCCCAAGATCAAAATTCACATGCTATACCAGCTGAGCCAGCCAGGCACCCCTACTTAGTGCTGTTTCTAGCAAATTACATATTTTGTGCAATTTAAGTCCTGGTATTTTAAAGATCATGAATAGTGATTGTAAAGTCCTTCTTTGAGTACTCTGTACTTTAGAGATCAGTAAATTTGAGTCCCATTCTAATATCCTCTTACCTGGGAGGATATGCTCTCTTGCCTGGTGATTGTTTTTTTAAGTTTTTATTTATTTATTTTGAGAGATAGAGAACGAACAGGGGAGGGGCAGAAAGAGAGGGAGGAACAGAGGATCCAAAGCGGGCTTTGTGCTGACAGCAGAGTGCCTGATGTGGGGCCCAAACCCGTGAACCATGAGATCATGACCCAGACTGAAGTCAGTTGCTTAACCAACTGAACCACCTAGGCGCCCCGCCTGGTGATTTTTTAATTTAATAATGTGAGTATTATTTGTAGGGTTATTGTGCCTTATTTATCCTTTTGTGCCTACTAAAGTGTGAGTAATCCTCTCGTTTAGACTAGAATATTTAATTTGGTTTAATAACATTTCCAAGGCACCAGACCTTCATGTTCCTTTCTGAAGTCTGGAACTTCTGTTCAGTCTAGAAACTTATACTGTGTCTAGGAAAATCGGTTCTTCTTGTTTTTAGCTTGAATTTATTCTAATGTGAATTGTATATCATAATGGATGGCTTATTTCATTTTTACTTCCTTACTTCTGAGGATGATCATTCACTCCTTAGTGATGTAATTAGGAATAATAAAATATTGGTAATTGTTGAAGGTAAATGTGGAGTAGTGAGTGGTTCGTTATAATATTCTCTCTGCTTTATACATACGTATTTCAAAAGTTTTGTCATTGAAAAATAAACATCAGCCATGATAACAAAATATAGAGTACTGTCACTGTAACATTGGCAGGACTTAGGCCTATTTGACTATAAATGAAAATTATTGGTAGACATTTTAAGCATGTGGTTTCTATTTACTCATCTAATATATTGTCAGGCTCTGTGCTAGAGATTTTTCTGGTCATGACTTCTCACTCAATAAAGAAAAAAATCTATAAATCTGATGGGAGAAAGTATTGGAATTCATCTTATTTTCATGTAGTTCCATTTTCCCTAATGTATAATGGACAATTGATAGGCATCACTATTATAAAATATTTATAGGTATTTGTAAAGAGGAAAGGAAAAAATGCTTTTGTTTTGTTCAGATGGAAATTGTATCCATATGGTAGACAATGGAATTGTAGAAAAACTTATGGATTTACTGGACAGACATGTAGAAGATGGAAATGTAACTGTGCAGCATGCAGCATTAAGTGCCCTCAGAAATCTGGCCATTCCAGGTAAGACTTAAAAATAGTGAACAACTATGTAAGAAATAATATCTATTGTTTTGGGAAGGTATTTATTTTATGTGATTTGTGGACCTGCCCTGACCAAGAAAAAAAAATCTTCAAATTATTTATATTTTTCTCACTAATAAATGGAGATATATCAAATAAGTTTTCTAAGACTATACAGGTATAATTGTTGTATTTGTTCAGATCATTCAGATATTCTGTTACCTTTTGTAAACTCCTAGATTTTCATCATATTGTATGGTTAAGCTTTTTTAAGCATCTTCAGTTGAGGTAGGATAATAGCATCATTTAAGAGAGTCCCTATAAGAATGACTTTTAGGGGGGGTTTCCCCTTCTATATAAGCAGACATAAGTTTTAAAAATAGCCTTAAGTGTCTTTGGATTAAAGACACTTTGAGCCATGAAATCACATTATCATGGTAAATAGTACAGGAGATAGTTAAAGCTATTATTCTACTTTCTAAAAATAAATTTCTGATTAGGTAAAATAGTATAACTGTATGATGATACAATCTATAAGATATCAATTTAGTTCATATAACAGATTAATATTGCTTATTAATATCTATAACATCTATAGTAACACAATTGGATCAAGAACACAGGTAAAAAGAAACATTTATTAAGCCTGAGGAATTGTGCTTTTTGTAAATAAGAAGACAACATTGTCAGAATTCCTTTTCAAATTGTTTAAGTGTTTTGAGATTAGGTTTAAAAAGCCAGTATGTATGATTTTGTATGTTATGCTCCTATAGACAAACAAGATAATTACCCTCACCCCCAGTCCCATTCTTAAAATACACAGAAAAGCAATATGACCTTTAAATAGAAAAATGTAACATGGGGCCTTAAAAATAGTAAGACAATAAATGTATATTGAACTGAATGACTATCATCAAGAATGCTAGCACCATTTTAACTATATTCTTTTTCCTCTCTCTCTCTCTCTCTCTCTCTCTCTCTAGTTGTAAATAAAGCAAAGATGTTATCAGCTGGAGTCACCGAGGCAGTTTTGAAATTCCTGAAGTCCGAAATGCCCCCAGTTCAGTTCAAACTTCTGGGAACGTTGAGAATGTTAATAGATGCACAAGGTAAAAGAAATGCTTTCCCAATACATTTTTGGTATGACAGTCAGTGTGCCTTAGTTGAAAAGGACTTGTTTTTAGCTTTGAGAATTATGTAATCATAAAGATAAATGGCAAATAAAAGGCAAAAAGAGATTGGCTTTAGAGCTCCATTCATTAATCCCCATGCTTGGTTATAATTGACTTTAAATGGAAATTATATTGCATCTCTTTATTGTACATATAATCCTGGTTTATCACTGATTCATTAGCAGTTCTGAAGGGTTTTTATGTTTTAGTATTTCATACCCATTTTTACTTTGTCTTAAGAATCATGTTTCAATATACTGACAGTCAAAATTTTTTTTAATTTGTTTGGCAGACAGGGAGATCATTTTTCTGTTTACAGAAACAACCATGAAAACCACTGCTTGGAATGACTTACGTTTATTTACTTATTTCTAAATTCTAAACCTTTGTCTGTATTGATTCCTCAGAGTCCTTCTGATACTCTTTGTTGTATTTTGCCAGAGTACTAACAGACTACCAGGCTGAACCACAAGAGTATAAAATTGTATTTTTGTATTTTGTATTAAAGTCCACCACTTTACAGAAAAAGCTAAACAGTCCATCAGATACGGAGTATTCGCAGTTCTTAATAAAATCATTGTGCTGTGGTTTTAGATGTATAGTTTCCTTTCGCACTCTTACAGTCCGTGCCAGGTACTTCAGTTGGTTGCCTATCAGTGATTGTTTCTTTTGTGGTTTGCCTTCTTTCCTATAGCAGAAGCTGCTGAACAACTGGGAAAGAATGTTAAATTAGTGGAGCGTTTGGTGGAATGGTGTGAAGCCAAAGATCATGCTGGTGTGATGGGGGAGTCAAACAGACTGCTGTCTGCCCTCATACGACACAGTAAATCAAAAGTAAGTTCCAGAGGAAACCATTTGCTGGAAAACCTGCAAGTGGCCCCTTTGGAAACTCAATATCATAGATCCTATAAATAAGCTTGCATTTCACTATTTATATATAAATACATTACAGGTGTACCTCAGAAATATCATATAGGTTCAGTTCCAGAACACTGCAATAAAGTGAAAATGCAGTAAAGCAAGTCAAATGAACATTTTGGTTTCCTAATGTATATAAAGTTGTGTTTACACTATATTGTAGTCTCTTTTTAAACTTTTTTTTTTTCAACGTTTATTTATTTTTTTTGGGACAGAGAGAGACAGAGCATGAACAGGGGAGGGGCAGAGAGAGAGGGAGACACAGAATCAGAAACAGGCTCCAGGCTCTGAGCCATCAGCCCAGAGCCTGAGGCGGGGCTCGAACTCACGGACCGCGAGATCCTGACCTGGCTGAAGTCGGACGCTTAACCGACTGCGCCACCCAGGCGCCCCTATTGTAGTCTCTTAAGTGTGCAATAACATGTTTTAAAAAATCATTTTTATGCCTTCATTAAAAAAACACTTTATGCCTAAAAATGCTAACCGTCATCTGAGCTTTCAGTGAGTTGTCAATCACTGATCGTACATCACCATAACAAACATAATAATAATGAAAAAGTTTGAAATTTTGTGAGAATTACCAAAAGGTGATGCAGGCATAAAGTGAGCAAATGCTGTTGGAAAAATGGCTGACAGACTTGCTTAACACGGGGCTGCTACAAACCTTCAGTTTGTAAAAAACACAGTATCTGTGAAACACAATAATAAAATGAAGTGCAATGAAATGAGGGATGCCTGTGATCCAGAATTCTGAAAAAAGAACTGAAAATTGAGGCTTTTAATTAGTTCTAGTCCATCATAGTTAAGAGTAAGGCTTTGGAATCAGACAGAGGAGTTCACGTAGTATCCCCACTATTTACTTGGTCAAGTGTCTTTCACATCTCAGTGTATTAAACCTGGGGTGATACCCACCCGAAAGTGTTGTGAGAATGATTCAGTGAGATCACCTATATGAAGTACTCAACTGGAATGTAGGACAAAGTAAGCACTCAGTAAATGGAACCACCATAAATGTTGATGTTATTATTTTTACCACTATCCTCAGTGTAAAATATCTTCTGTGTACCAAGCACTGACCAAGCTAGCTAATGATATTAAAAATTAAATGATATCTAGATAGTATATGGTGCCCTGAACTCACAAAGTTGGATGAAATCCATTCTCATAGCAGTGTCCAATCTAGTATGTGTCTGACATGTGGTTGATAACCTGTTTTTGTTCAGTGAATGACTAAATGAATTATTTTAAAGATCATAATGGTGGGAAGCTAAGCCAGCTGATTTAGTATCTGTATTATATACGTTTTATTTTTTTTAAGCCTGTTATCCAGAGTGAGCCTTTTGACCATTTCACTTATGTCCATGGGAAAATGTATCACAACTTCTTAACCTAATCTTGGAACAAAATTCATTAAACTGTTAGACTAAATTGAGAGTTGAGGCTTTTCTGCTAATATTTATCACAGGGTTCCCTTTCCCTCATCTAAACCCCTACTCTCCCCTCCCCCAACAAAAAACTTTCCGGTACCCATTAAGCATCCATCACATGTAGGTGCTTTAAAAAGACAAGAGCAACATTACATTGTACCTTTCTAGGAGTGTGTGTGTGGGGGGGGGGGGGGGGGGGGGTGTAACAAAAACAATTTCCCCCATAGAATCTTTTTTTTATTTCAAGTTTTTATTTAAATTCTAGTTAGTGTAACAAAAGGGACGCCTGGGTGGCTCAGTCGGTTAAGCATCTGACTCTTGATTTCAGCTCAGGTCATAATCTCAGGGTTCGTGGGTTCAAGCACCACATCGGGTTTTGCACTGACAGTGCACAGCTTGCTTGGGATTCTCTCTCTCCCTCTTTCTGCCTCTCCCTCACTTGTGCACTCTTTCTCTCAAAATTAAATAAATGTAAAACAAAATTTTTTTAAAGAAAACAGTTCCCCCCTTGAATATTCCTTTATTTTTTTTTTTCTTTTCAATTTTTTTTTCAAATTCTAGTTAGTTAACCTATATGGTAAAATTGGTTTTAGGTGTAAAATTTAGTGATTCATCACTTACATACAATAGCCATGATACAAGATTATAACTTTATGGGCACATTATAACTTTATGTTTATAATTCAGTACCAAATAGACTGGGTTTTGTTTGTTTGGGGTTTTTTTTTTTTTGCATATCTTTCCTACAGTTGAGTGTATATTGCTGCTAAGCAGCAATAGGAACCTTGATTGACATACTTTAATGATCAGAACACAGGTGTGTTCCTTCTGGAGCTCCAGATTAGAATTATTTTCAAATTTCACAAGCATTGAAGTGGAATCTGTGATTCCTTTTGAGCAGTTTTCAGAACATGTTCTATTGAATAATAACCCTAAAGAATATTCCACAAAGAGAAACGGTTGTACGATCAGATTAGAGAAATAGTTCATTTCTTTTCCCTGCCTTTGAAATTCACAGCACACATTAGCACTACTCTAAAAACAAACAAACAAACAAAAAAAAACATCCTTTACTATCGCACAGTGGGTCTTTTTTGCAAGTTGCATCTATTAAATACATTCCACTGAACATACTTTGGAAAATGCTGCTCTGGAATAAGCTTTTAAACACTAGGTTCAAGGGTTTTTTTTCTGTTTTTTTGTTTGTTTTTTTTTTTTTACATTCCTGTAGATCCTTAACCAACTGTTGTGAATTATAGCTCTGTCCTTGTGTTATTTTTAAACTTTGAAGATCCTACTCCTTTTAAAGTCACCCTGAATTCTGTCTTAGAGTCCAACCCTCTGAAAGTTTGCACTGACTCACAGGGTTTCACACTAGCTTAGTCATCTCAGCCATATACAGTATATTTCTGCACTTGTGCCAATAGGTAAATTCACATCTTCCTTCAAAAGAGTGCCCTGGACTAGAACTCTTGAGCAACTAGCTGGACCTTCTGATTTAAATATCAAAAACAGAAAATATATTTTGCCTCTACATTAGGAACATAAAAATTACCTCCTGTCAAAGACACTTTTTTCTTTCCTTTAAGAGTGAAACATTCTTCGTCAATTATCAAGCTAAAAACTTGTCTAAACAAATGTTTTTAGTCATTCGCTCATTCATCTGACAAACATTTAAATCCTACACTGAGAAGTAGTTTTTGATGCTACAAAGTTGAGAAAGAAAATTTTTTGTTAGGTGATTCAGTGCCTACACCAATCTGCAATCTTATAAATTACCTTGAACTCAGGCCTATTTCAGAACATTACATTGTAATAATCAGTGTTATTATACAGTTTTCAACAAAGTTTTTAGCAGGAATTTATCTCAGTTATTAAGGGCATATTGACCGTAAAAGTTAAATATGCACGACTGTTACATAGATAATTTGCCTTGGTTATGTATGTACCAAAATTTAGCTTTCCATAAGAAAACTTGAGAAACAGGATTGCAAAATAACACATCATTTAAAACTTTGTAAAGCGTTAAAGTATGTCCAAAAGTTTTGGAGATTTTGCAGATACATCTAGGGTTTAGAAGGATTACCCAGAAAAATATCTTACTATTTCTACAGTTTACTTATTATAAGTGAAATGATTTTAGAAAAGTTAAAATTATTTTTAGATGTGGATATTGAAATTATTTGTAATTCTCCAGATGAACCTCTTTGCTCTGTGGAATGGTGCTGATATCCCTTTTTTTTTTTTTTTTTTAATATCTTGAAGTTTAAAAATGTAACTTTAAAATACATCCATAGAGCCTCTTTAGAACACATTAAGTGACTGCCTGTGCATGGCACTATGATGAATTCAGTACACTTACTTTTGGTTAGACCACAAACGGTCTAACTGCCTGGATTTGAATCATGGCTTTTTACCTCTTAATCACTGACAATTTTCATAACTTAATCTGAGCTTCAGTTTCTTCATCTATTAACTGGAGAAAATATCTAGCTAATGGGATTTTCTTTGAGGATAAAAATATGCTAATATCTGTAAGCTACCCTGTGTAATGTCCAGCGTGTAGTGGTTGCTCTATAGAGGGCAGCTATCAATATCATTCTCTTTTGTCATGTAACACAAATACAATGCTTCATTTGTCTTTTATCCCCCATTCTGTCAGGCACAGTAACTCCATAGCGGACCTACTCAGTAAAATTTACTGAAGTAGGAGGAGAGAGGGCAAGGCATTTAAAAAAAAAAAAAAAAAAAAAACTTCAATATCTGTTCAAAAAAGTGAGATTGAAAAGGACCTATGCTTGAACTTTCGGGGGAGCTATTTGCTTCTGATATACAGTTTCCTTCTTCATTCATGACCTGCCCCTTCTACTACAGTAGACTTTCCAGGGTGAATCACAAAATAAAGAATGAAATAATAGGCCAGGAACCTTCATTAGGTGACTGCATGTGTGTCTATGAATCTCTTGTGGTCTTCTTTACTCAATAAATTCCTTTGTGATTTTTATAAAATTCTTCACTAATTTTAAGAATTTTATATCTGTTTCAAGAAAGTGCCCACCCAGTAAGCAGTGTGTTGAGAGGCTTTCTTTTCATTAGAAGAGACTTTAAAAGATTGTCTTTCACTTACTAAAAGAGGTTGATGAGAAAAAGCTTGTTGGATGCCAGAACACAACTACCATAAAATCTCAGTACTAGGACCCCATCAGTTTAGATTGTTTGATCTCTAAATGTTGTTTGGGCTCAAAGCAAAGACATTACAGATAGTTTTCTTAAGAATTTATATAAGGTGGAACCATTAAAAAAAA